GAGACCCAGAGAAAATCCAACCTCCAACCGAGGGTCCGAAAGCATTATTCCTTCCGCATCACGCGAAAAAGGAGGACCGTTTCCCGCTGCACGAGGATTCTCTTAGAATCTAAAATCCTAAAATCCTCCCCAACCGGAAATAATTTCTCAGCCCCGAAAACGGCGCTTTGAGCCGATTTTTCTTGGGGAGCCGAGGTGTCGGGGTCCTCAGGTGTTCGGGGCTCGAGACGAGTCCTTTTGGCCTCCTTGCACTGCCTCTCCTGGTCCTCGCCCCGAGTTTGCAGGTCAGTGCACCTTCTTTCCTGGTCCACCGAGAGAGCCGATCCGCCCGTGCCAGGTCGATCCTGAAATAAGCAAAGCCGAGGTAAGCATAACCCGAAGGATTTAGCCGGGGCTCCGGGATCGAACGTTAATCGATCCCGGCCCCTCGCCGAAAGGCAGCGCCTCCTCGGAGGCCGGCTTCACGGGCGATAAAGCCGATTTCGAGCGTATTACACCGGCGGCATCTCAAGGGGGGAGGGGGGCGAATTTATGCGAATTACTCGCCGACCCGTCCGGGCGCAATTAACGGGCCGCGACACACAGCAGCTTTATTGTTTACTAAATCTCTAAAGGAGCGGCCCTTGAGGCCCGATAATGAGGACGAGTTTAGGTCGATATTAAAGCGGCTGATTTACGGGCCGGTCGCCCTTATACCTTGCCTCTTGCCTTGCCCCTCACCTGGCCTTACCTGTGCCCAGGATCGCGCCTGGCGAGGGCGCAATAGATATTTACTCGCCGTATTTTTAGAGGCTCCTTCGACGCGCGACTATCGCGCCGAGGCTCGGGTGCTGATTGTCAAATGGCGCCGACTAATTTGCATGTGACAGCCGTTGACGACGCTTTCCGCGGAGGTTAATGGGGACGAAGAGGGTCGGTGGTCTCCCGTAACGGGAACGTGGATTCGACGCTCGCCGTGGAGGTTAAGAGGGAGGAAGAAGCGCGAGAAGAAGGCTCCGGCGAAAAAGGGAGACGCAGAGAGGAAAGGAACGGATAAGGATTATTGCGTAAGATATAAATGACGGAGACTGCATATACGGAATCGGGAGAGAGCTTACGTGCTCGGCGACCGGCTTACGTGTTCCCAGGCGCCTCTTAATGCGACACCCCGGAGGGAAGGAACGTCCCGAGGAAACGTCCTCTTCCACCGGGATTAATTTCGATCCAGGTGAGGATCGACACCTGGACTCGGGTTTTTGGAGCATCGGCGGCGGCCCTCGATCGACTCCACCGGATGTCAAATTGGACGGGGAGGATACTTTATTTTTTATTTCACATTAAGGGTATCTTTAGGTATCTCTTTGGGCAAATTCGAGGAATCGAATTCCGAGATTTCGAAATCCCGAAGGAAATCCGGGACTTCGTCGCGAGTATCTCGACGACGGCGTGGCGTCGAGCGCTTGTCGAGTCGATTTTGCAGCGGTCCTTATGTACCGTCCAAGATGTCGATAGGTATCGATACCGGTCAAACATGGCTCGACCCCGTTGTTACATATCGGCACTCGCTTGATCGTGAGTGAAATACGTCCCGGGCGTCGGATAGAACACGGTAATGCGACTCACTTCTAATCGAGTCGTTGGCCCGAGTCATCACTTCAGCGGCATTCCTGGGGACGAATTGGCTAGAAAATTGGGAATACATTAATATCGGGTCTAAATTATCGACAATGCATCGCAGGCTGCTTCGACTCTTGCCTCGATGCCTCGTCAGAGTCGGTTCTTCCACCCCTTCCTTATCGGACCGCTGGGCGGAATAAAATATCTCCCCTGATTACCGAGGCGATAAAGAAAAAATATTTAAATCCCTCGAGCATAATGGATCGATGCGCTTCTTTTTTCTCTTTTTTATCCCGGCGAGAGGGGTTAGTGGGAGAAAAAATAAAGACGAAAGGTCCATCCAGCTAGTCTGGGACCTTCGATTGCATTAGTTGGGCCAGCTTGGGAGTATAGGGCCTGTTAGTACCCCGATACCAAAGGCGACGACGAAAGGAGTCCGGGATAAACGAGTGGACGGCATAAATCTCAATAAATCTTGATAAATCCGAGATTAGCCCACGGATCGTGGTACAAGGGAGAGGAATCGGCATAAATCATAATAGCGCGATGCGATGCTTTCGACGGGCCTCGAGGGCTCGGTTTTCGTGGAAGGTACGAGTAGAGCCCTTCTCGGCTGTTTCCTCGGCCTCGGCGGGCTGCCTCCACTCTTTGGGTTCACGACCTCACTTTCGTTAACTGCTTTTAATTGCCTCGTAATTGAGATTAATGGAAAGGCATGCGGGTGCCCATGATATCACCCGGCTCGAATTAAAATTAAACAGCGCGCCGCCGTGCCGCGAAACAACGATGGATCTCGTCGCGATGACAGCCCGAATTTCGGCTACGATTTACGACATTTCTTATCAAACGGTCATACATTTTTTGAGACAGCTTGACGAGACACCTGATGTCTCTCTCTCGCCTCGAAAGAGGGGAGTCGAATCTCATCGATCTCAACATATCTTCCGGAAATTTATAAATGCCTCATCTGGCGACTTCCTCGACACAGTCGAGTTATTCTAGAATTTTGCCATTTCTTCCTTTATTAAACAATGCCCAAAAAGGGCGGTCTTATTCATGCAGTTACGAGGGGAATCAAAGTGCACGGTGGACGTAGAAATGCGTGCGGGATGTCTCATTTGCATGTGACTAATCAACGGTGTTAACGGATCGTGCGTGCTTGAATCGCCGAATCGTGTGCGGCTAAGTTGTAATATCGCTGATAGGATGACACGTAATTACAACTTACGTGATGGATGCACCAGACGATTAGAATCTTAATCCTACCTTTCTTTCGTTTCCGCGATAAGACGCTTCAGTGTCAGAAAAAAAAAAGTTACATTTCCCATTACTTAGCGTAGCACCGCCATTATGACTCGTTACCTCCGGATATCGGCGTGGCAACGTTTTGTCACTTGCCAGCGTTGTTTACACGATGGGGTAACCGCGTTGTTTACGCTCCTGAGCAAGGAGGAGGTGGGAATTAATAATTGCCGAAGATGCTGCAGAGCGGGATCGGATCGTTGCACAACTTGTACCGCATGCCAGTGAAATTGCCCCATTATTACTTGATCTAGTTCTGCTTGAAGCCGGTGTCGGGTGTTGCTGCTTACTTCGAGTTGTTCGAGACTCGATTCCTGAAATGATGCGCACGTTCCCGACATTTCTGCTCCGCTCCAAGTTCACCGACGTTTCTCGCAAACGAGGAGATACACCGAGAAAAGCATCATCCATTGAACCGAAGGAATATTTTGTCAATTCAAGGAAATAATTATTTGACTGAGATAAATTGTCATAATCTCGGGGAAATGCCGCATCCAATTTATTTGGGTTCATCGGAGTCGAATAATTATTCTTATCATTAATAAAATATTTCTTCGATTCAGTGATATTTTTTTTGCTCAGGGTGGAATTCCTGCTCCTCCCCATTTCCGGGCGTTAATTACCGGCATTCGCGATCACGGAAGAACGCGCTCTAACGAGGTAACCTAAAATTAAATTAATCGCCCTTTTCCAGGAAAATCATGTCGAGAAATTCAGGAACTGCCGGTGGACGAGCAATTACGTTGACTAGCGGGCGACCGGAGCACCATGAGCGATGGGACGTTTCAAGAATCCAGAAGACCTCCTCGATCCTCACGACTTTCCTCGAAGGTCTTACTTTCTCCGAATGAAGGAAAGAGGAGACCTTCTTCAGGAAAGGAGCAGCTTCCAGCATCTCGAGCGATCCCTCTCCATGGGTAACCATCGTAAAGTGACCGTAGACTTGAATGCGGACGTAGAAATACGAAACTGACGTCGAGCAGACATTCGTGAGTATCCTTCGGTTTCCCAGCCTTCTGCCGACCACGTGTACAAGTGCACGAAAAAAGGAACTATCAAACAAAAAGAAAAAAAAGACCATAATCACGACAACCGTGGCCATTTAGCGAGGCACCATGTGGGACAACCGTGGCAGGATGCTGCATCCAGAGTAACACGGTATAAAGAACGGGAAAAATAATGGCAAACAGGAACATTATATTTATCGCAAAAATCTTACACAATTAGTATCATTTCAGGTATACCACAAAATAAACATACGCGTAGTCTCTCAATCGTCGATGAAAAAACCCTTGAATTTGGCTTCCGTGACCGAAGACGTCTTTCCACGGTTTCCCGTTCTTCCGCCATTGTTCGGTAATCACTGACATAACCGATGCCTATCAGCGCGAGGACCGATCGCCGGCGACCCGACGCCTCCGGTTTGCGAATCGGCGCGCCTCTCCCTGCATCCCACGCGGAGCCCACGGCGTCGGTTGGCGTCCAGCTGCGGTTTGAAACAGCTGAGAACGCGCGGGCGCTCGGCTCTCGTCGCCTCGTCGAATATCGGGTTGTCCCCGTTCAGGACGTCAGGGGTGACATAGCCGACCGTCAAACCTAGAGCCGGGGGAAAATTGAAATTCCCGGCAAAGGTCGGGTCGACCGACACCGGCGTTCGATTCCCGCCCTCAGATTCCAGAGACTCGTTCCGCTCGCGAGTGGAATTCGTCCGATCATCCGATAGACGCATGATCGAGGAGGATCGAACGGTGTCGAACGTGACGCGGACGGCGAGGGAATCGGCAAAACGTCGCGCGTCTGCCGGTGCGGCCCACGCGTTCCCGCGCCGGGCGATCGGTCCGTGTCACGTCGCGCCGAGGCTGGAACAGCTGAGAGAACGCTCGGCGTCTCGTCGCCTCGGCGAGTTCCCAGCTGTTCCCGCTTATCCCGGTCTCGGTCTCGGGTGAGTCGCCGGTGGTTGCCGGTTTGGCAGCTTCGTAGCTCCCAGGGCGGCGTGGCGGCGGCGGCGGTGGCGGCGGGGCGCCCCGGGAGCGGCGGGCGGCAGCGTGGCGGCGTGGCGAGCGCGGCGTGCTTCAGTGCGCTCCTGACCGTCGCGCCGTTCGGGTCGCTCGTTCGGAGTCCCCCGCGGTCGCCCGGTTACCGGTGTAAACATTCGCCCGCCGTCGCAGCCCGGCGACCTCCCGCGATCGATCGCCGGCCGACCTCTCCGTCGCTCCCGGATACACAGAGCGGTCGCCACCTGGTCCTCGATCGATCGATCGATATATCGCGTCGCGATCGGACAGTGCGGTGGCGCCCGGCGCCCTGGTCGATGAGTCACGCGTGGCTTCCCGCGGAATCGGCGCCGCGTCGCGATCCACGCCGATGCTCCCGGGCGGCGTTTCCCTTGGGCCGTGAGCCCGATTGGCGGGACCCGCGAGCGCCGCGCGAGGCCGACCGCCAGTCGGCCCTGCGACGCGGCCCGGTGAGGTGCTCGCGGACCCACGTGCGCGCCGATTCGTGAGATTCGCGGCCCACGTGGCCCCCCCTGTGTGTCGTGTCTCGCGCGCCCATTGGCCGACCCACGGCCGAGTCGAGCACGTGCGCGACCGTCTCGTGACTCCGCGACGCCGGCGCCGCGCCTAAACATCCGCTCCTGGCGACGCCGCGGCGGTCGCTGCACCAGCCTCCCCCCCGCAACGGATGATGCGGGAACGACTCGCGAGCCTCGCGGAGGTCTTTCGGTGAGTATCGGGAAAACGGCACCGTTCCCTCGTCGCAGCCTCCGCAGCTGCGGTGGAAATTTCGAGTCTCTCAATGACAGCTCACATGTTAATTTTTAATATCCAAAAAAAAGCGGGGAAAAAACTCCCATGTATCATCTATCCATTCGTGGCCCGTAAGCGAATGGAAATCTCGGGATTGGGCCACACTCACGACCGCGACACGTGTTCCTCTCTCGAGTGGTCCGCAAAAAACGAATCACCGATTACGAGCGCCGAGCGGTGTGACGTCACCGCGACGCCTCGTCCCTCGAAATCCCGCCGCCGATTAAATCTCCCCGCTCTCGCACTTTTTACGCCCGCAAGAGTTCCGCGTCCTATTCCTCGAGGTTTTAATTTACGCGTCCCGTTTCGCTGGCGAGGAAACGACACGTATGAGAAACGTTTCGGTGGAGACGTTAGGAGTGGGAGTCCCGTGCGCGCGTCGAGGGTCGCACAGGGCGCGTTTTTTTTTCTACCCGACATGCCGTGAAAAAATTCATCCGAAGCGATATTTTCTTCTGACGGAAGTGACGCACGGGGAGCGGAAAGTAATTTTGACCGGTCGGTCATCCTCGACGCGTCGACGCGCCGCGTTAGGTGTGACAATTTTTTTTTCTTCGATTACGAGAATGTCGGCCACACAAATCGGAATAGGTTCATCACCGAATTCCAGGTATGTACAATGGCCTCTTGTTTAAAGCGATCCATGGAATCTCTAGCCCAATTGGTTGCCGAACGATAGGACGCGCTGACGAGGCGCGGAAATATGCGGATCGGTCGACAAAGCCTAATTGTTCGACGGACCGCGATTTTGGTCGCGGGCATGGCGGAGAGGAAAACACGAAATCGGCGATTAGAGGGATTCCGTCGGAGGGGGTCGCGGTTGCGTCACCGAGACCCGTCAATGCCCTGGAATTCTCCTCCGCTCGATTAAATCTGCCCACTTGTCGCCCGGTATCTTCTTACAGGCTTTATAGACTCGGCGCGCCCTAGAAAACCTCTCCTAAAGCCTCTTCCTTAAAGCAGGACTCTGCATTTTTGAGACGATTTTTTTCTTTTTTTTTTTCAATATTAATTAAATACATTAAACAATAAACCAATTAATTATCTGGGAATCTACGGGAAATACAGACTCGTTAATAGTAGATTAGTCTAATTCCGCCTCCTACAATATACAATAAGATTTTCAGGAATTACGGAACTGACCGCGAAATTGAATGGTCAACTCTTTGAAAAGTACATTTTATACATTTTTATGCGTTCATGATATGACGTTTGGTTGAAATCGCAGGATTTTCGGGAATTACGGGACCGATTATGCGACGATATTCGTATCTTGGGGGAGGGAGAAGGAGGGACAACGGTGTGAGATATTTCCGGTCAACACGTCGGCCGCGAAACGTGTGGGTCGAGCTTAATCAATGAGTGATAAATTCCACGATTATCGACTCCATCGGGAGAGGGAGGGGGCGATACCGATTTTTCGACCCTCCGACTACCGACTGTACCTCTCTCTTTCTATCGTGGGTGTCGAACTTGTCGCACGAAATCGAGATAACGACCGACCGCTCTTCCGTGTGAGCGTCCTATCGCGTTCTCTGCCTCCTTCTCACACCTCCTATCGCCACGTCTCTCCGTCTCTGTCCTCGTCTTCATGGCGCGCGTTTCCTCCTCGATTTGTCGCGATTGGCCGCGACCCGAGCCCGGGGGTCGATAAGGAGGTGCATCGCTTATCGGTAACACTTCCGGCAGGTAAATCGGGAAGCTCTGTTTACCTGCGAAAATCTGGAACAATGTTGAACAGAGTTAGACGGAGTATGGGGATGGCTTAATAAAAAGAAAAATATGGCGACTCTAATAGGACGATTTTGAAATTTGTTTACGTTTATCGAATCGTAACTTAAGACACAATACATTCTCCATTATTATCTGTGATAAATTAATATAAAAAGAAATGTAGAACCCTATACGTGTACAGGGATGACGAACGTGTAGGTTTATCGTACAGATGTTCCCGTTTACGTGGGTCACCTTGTTCGCGAGGTCGGCCGTAATAAATTGTCGGGCCCACTCGGTGACAAAGTAGTCATTTAAAAATAAATGTCACCGCGTTTTCCGAGTCTCTCGTCGCCTCTCCGGGCGAGGACCGTCGGCCCACCTACTGACCTACCGCTCTGAACGTCTCCGCGGGCGACGCCGCATTCGACAACTTCATAAGACACGACACTCTCCCTCTCTATTTCCTCGCCGGTTTCGTCACGACCTCCGCTCCCCCGGAGCCGCGGTCGCGGTGTTATTTGTCGATCCTAGAATAACCTCGCAACAGGGACGTCTATCGTCTATCGGGGAAACGAGAGGCGATTCGCGTGGGCGAGCGACAAGGGGGGCGGAAAAGCGAGCATCTGCGAACGAGAGAGAAAGAGAGAGGGAGGACGATAACGGAGTTTCCGGTGCGAGGTCCGCGGTGGATGACCACTGACAACGGTGATAAGAGGACCCTCCTGCCCCCCTTGTCCCGCGGAGGCAAAGTGCCCCAGTTTCGGAGATACGAATTTTTCCCTTTTGTGGGTGGCCAAGTCGATATATGGGAATGATCGATTACTAGGCTTTGGAAATATTTCCCCTCTGCGGGAGGAACGTTTGGCGAGGGTTTTCGAGGGACCTCGGGCATGGCGCTTTCGCCGTTTCTTGCGAGGTTAGGAACGACGGTGCGGACCCTCGCCAGGGACTAATAATAAACTTAGGGCCTCGAGCAGCCGGACCCGCTGCGGCGACGTGAAATCCAAACTATGAGTTTCGGTGCTTAACCATCAAAGGGTCGAAACCTCGGGGCGACCACGTGGTCGACACGTGTGCCCGAAAACCGTCCTCCGCGTTATTCGCGTCGCGACGGCTCGTCACGGCCTGGTAGGGACGCCACGGTGGTCCCTCGGGATAAAGGGAAACCTCGGCCTAGGTCTCTCGTAATGAACTAACACGCGGATAAAAATAGTTACGGGGAATTGTCATCGGTATTAAAGACCTGGCTAACCTCGATCCTTTTTGCGAAACCACCTTGCCATACATCCAAAACCATCACCGGGATCGATTTCATTTACGCTAGGAAAAAGTAATGGCTCCATCCTCGCCCCTCTCTTTCTCCCTCCTTCCAGAGCCCCGTGGAATACCTCGGGCACTAAATCCTGGACATTCCTTAAAAATGGTAATTAGCGCCATTTATACCCGCCGGGCATCGGACACGCTCTCCCGTAAGGATCATTAAACGGTTAGGAGAAAAAGGACAGAGGTAAGGGGCAAAAAAATCCCCGGCAATCCGACCTTCCTCCGCAAATTGGACGTCCTTGTTGGGCGCTTCGCCTCGTCCTTGTCCGGGCCCCGGAATTCAGGGCCCGGGGTCCAGTTCTCGGTCCCCGCAAGTTTCCTCCCGGCGTCCCGGCGCTTCCACGTTCATCGCTCCCGCGATGATTTACCCGCGGCGTTTATGACGCAACGTTAAAAGCCGCGGGCAAAAATCCGTCCGGGGCTCGGCGACTCCGCGGAAAGAGCGGTCTTAAAACCTCTCTCTCGGACGCGGAGAGGGACGCCGCATAGCGTTACTTGCGCTGCGGATGAGAGAGAGAAAGAGAGGAGACGTGGGAAATGTGAAAGAGAAGAAGGGAGATGGGGAAGGGAAAAAGGGGGTGAGGGAGTCGCGTGCAACTCGGTGCGCGCGTCTTTCTTTCGAGAGAGGGAGAACGAGACCTCGAGGTACATACGTGACGAAAAAATTCTTCACGTTTACGAGACGGCCGGAGGGTGATTACGCGAATGGGGTTATCGGGGAAAAATGCACTTTAAATTGATAGGCGAGGTGGCGCCGCAAAGGGCGAGATCGGGCGTGGACGGAGATATAGGGTGCTGGCAATTGGCGTCGCTCGGGGCACTCGCTATTTCGCTTATGTATGGACGTATTCGTGTATGTACATATATATGTGTCAAGGTTACCTGGGGAAAAAGGAGGAACGCGGAAAAATACTAGGGCATGCACCGGTAACGCAAGGTGGAGCGTATATATTACGATATTCTTTCCTGCCCTTTATCGCCCGGGTAACAAGCGAGCGAGTGCGTTACAACCGCGGCGTTTAGTGAACCCGGGACCGAGGGGCCATTATGCATTATTTACCGATTGACTTTGGTGTATTTTATCGGGAGGTGGCAGGTATTCCCGAGAGTCGATGGAGGTGGGTGCACTTAACGTGTAATACCTTAGGGGAGACGGCTTAAGGCAGGACGAGACGGGGGAGGGAGGCATATTTCGCGTTATCATAAAGACGGAGGGAGGGATTGTCCGATCTTTCATATTTGTTCGGCAGAGAAATCGCCGATCAAACTTGCGGAAATATTTTCCATCCCGCCCTAATAAGGTATCCTGGGAATTCCTGGGTGAGAACACGAGGAAACCTCGAGGGGGACTTCCTCGTTTCTTGTTTTGTTTATTTTTTTTTCTTTCTTTTTTTCATCGCCGCCCCTTTGCTCGCGGATGCTGGGATTACGTTTTTCCGCCGGGGTGTATTTCTTAGGTTTTATTTTCGGTAATGTTTCCTCCTCTGGCCCGAGGAGAGCGATCCGGGCATGAATCACGGACGCTCCTGACTGCCGAGATGCGAGCGCCGGTTCGGTATCCGTCTTAGCGCGGTTTACCGCGATTCTCGGAACGGCCAGGCCGATTCCGCGGAACGGAGGATTCCGCGCACGGCCTCGCCGCATCCGGAATGACTGTGCGGAACGGCCCGAGTTCGGAGAACGTTCGTCCACGCATCGACGTAAGGAGTCCCGTCATCGTGCCGCGGCTATACTTGTCGCCATTCTTCCCGACTTGGATTGCAGATTTCCATTTTCTTTCTTTTTTGTATTTTTGGTCATATTTTGAAAGGGTAAATCATCGCCGACTGGAGGATCGCTTTGTTCTCTAGGGCGTGGAAAAATGAAAATACTCCGGA